ATGTAAAAAGAAGCATTCAAACTAAACAGCTTAAATTTCCCGGAATGTTCAGCATTAGTCTTAACTCTACTCCATTCATACCAATAGGAAAAAAGATCCAAATAATGTCTTATTTTAATCCAATGTGCTCCCAAAGTTAAATCTGAACAAGTGTTCTCTACTGAGATACCTCATGATCACATTGTGCCTAGCAGTAAATCACAGAACAGCAACAGGTCATCTTTGGAAAATCTGCATTTCTGGTCCAGTGCCTCACTACCTACCACATACACATTTATTTTAGAACTGAATGCATATGGCCAAATGCAATTCTCCTAGTTACTGAGATGATCCTGGATACTGTCTTTCACTAAAATATTAGGACAGATTCAATGAAACAAAATAATAGCCTATAGATACTATTTAGCTTGCTTCATGTAAAAGAACTATGTGACACCACCTTTGGAAAGCAACAAATATGAAGTTCCATGATTTTAACTGAATCAATTCCTTGCCAATTTGTATGATTTGAAAACCATACTTCATTTATTCCAAGCAACAAAAAAAACCCAACAAACCAACCCTTGCCTACTAAAGCTGTTCAGAAGTAGGTAAAAAAAAAAATTGCACCCATAGTGAATTAACAAGAAAATAAAGTGACCATACAGCTTTCTGTAAAAAAATCTTACATTTTCTTCTAAGTTGTTACTGTAATAAAATAGATAAAATATTTTTATTTTTCTTGAGCATTTCTAGCCCTTCAAATTGAAAGAAAATTAAGCCAACCAACACAAGATAAAAGTTTTCAGGGCTGTTTTCATACTTAGTAAAATATTCCACTTTAAAGAGGAAGGAGATTCAAAACAGCAGTAGGTCCTCATTCTCAAGGCAGACTTAAGTTAGCCTCAGAAAATAAGATGCTCTCAGAATTTCTTCAGAATTTAATCATGCACTAAAAAATGTTTCTGAACTTTTGTATTGCTTTCAAAAGCAATTTGAAAGAACACACACAGAACAGAGATGCAACATGGTCTTTCAACAGACTGCCTGCAGCCACTAGAATTCATAGATTTTTACAGAGCAACAAGAAAACAAAAGCAAGTCTCTGCCTAGTTTTGTAACTGGCATTCAACATCCTATAAACTATTATCCATCAAGTTTCAGACTGTCATAGCAATTAAGAGCTATATGAAACAGGGAGATTCCCAGGTGCCATTAATACAAAGATGCTGAAGTAAGTATATAATGTAAAGGTAGTCTTCCCAAACTCACAACTGGCTATGCAAGCTCAAGTAAAAGGATAAGCATACAAGAGAATATGTTTGTTGGCATGACTAAGCCACCAAACCCTCTTAATCATAGTTTATGCTAACACCACTTTTTATTCAGGAAAACTGTGACTAGGTTCAATCTTCTGCCAACACAGCACTCAAAGATACAAACCACCATCTTTGATTTTACTACACTCACAAAAAATTTACAAGGTACACTCAGCCTAGAAAAACTCCTCACATGGTATAGGAGGAACACAGACCAGAAACTGACAGGAGCAAGAGTACACAGGTGCACTTTTTCTGCCTTCTAGATGCAAAGCTTAAGATTCTAGAAACACTAGTCAATAAGCTGGAATCCCAAATAAGGATTCACTGACATTCTCACTGCTGCCTCATCTTTTTATCTGGTCATTAGCTGATTTTGTATCTTGTCGACTCCATTTGGGATCTTAGACCCCTAGCTGAGCACCCAAGGATTTTTTTTAAACAGGCATAAACTTAATAAACAAGGGCTCCAACCAAGTGTTTATTAGTTCTCAAAAATGAGGTAGAATAATATTTGCTCCTTTAGATACAAGGTTTTACTTTAACATAAACTGAATTCCTAAACTATTCCAGAATTGATACTTTTATTAGAAAAAGTAAAGGATGTGTTATTTCAAAACTGCAAATTATGCAGAAGAAATTAATTTGAGGTCACACAGTTCTGCCACAACCTTTTCTCCTCATCTTGGATCTGTTTCTACTTGCAACATTCTTTTGGCTTATTAAAGGTCTATAATTGAGACAGAGATAAAAATTACTATTGCAAAAAGCAACAATTATTAACTGCTGTGAAAATAAACTGGCTTGCATTGAACTTAGGGAAAGCAACAGATGGCCAAGTAGGGGTTACTGAAGCAACAAACACGAGGTTTTGTTGCTCACTTTGCTTCTCCACCCTAAAGAATATAATCAACAGAAACTGCAAGCATTTCTCAAGTAATATTTTAACTGCAGAGAGGAATTTATCCTGCAAAAAAAAAAAAAAAAAAAAAAGGAGATGAAATATGAAGTAAGTATAAACAAGAGATGTATTTTAAAACCTTATGCCAAGGTCTTGGGAGTCCTAAACTTGGTTTTTTTAATTACTTTAGATTACTGAAATCCCTCCATGTTCATTATGCTCCTAGATACCATTTCAATTACCAGTGCTACTCAATCACTTCCCTTTTCCCCATAATTTCTTATAAGAGGTAAAATCATCTAAAATTGCAGGAAGCCAACATTCCTGCAATCAGCTAGCCAGCAGAATCAGCTAACAGGCAGCCTTCAAGCACAGATGGAAAAGTAAATTAAAGACTGAAAAAATTCTTACTGTGAGGGTGGTGAGGCACTGGAACAGGTTGCCCGGAGAAGTGGTAAATGCTCCATCCCTGGCAGTGTTCAAGGCCAGGTTGGACAGAGCCTTGGGTGACATGGTCTAGTGGAAGGTGTCCCTGCCCATGGCAGGGGGCTTGAAACTAGATGATCTTAAGGTCCTTTCCAACCCTAACTATTCTATGATTCTATTTAACATGAATTCAGTAGGTTTTCTTCAAAGTATGAGAAACCTTTACCTCAGAAATACCAAGCAGTACCCATCATCCACTGCTCATGTTGCTTAGAATTGCAATGACAAAGAATATCAGTATTTGCTTAAAAAAAGACATTTCCTGCGGACCAACTAGTAATAGGTAAGGAAAAAGAGAAACCTGAGAGCCAAGAGGGAAAGAACAGGTCATTCTACTGCTTTCTTTTCTTAAACATGAACTGTCTTTAATTAAACAAGGATCAATTTACACAATTGACAGTGACTGAAGTACAGCTGTACTGACTTCAGGTACACGACTGGATTGGTTACCATGGGAAAGGAAGGTTGTAGAGTAGTCAAATACACACATACAATACTCTGCCATTTTGTCTGCACAAAGTTCTGAACATAAACAGAGGATAAGGCGCTGTAATTTAGAGATCCTGACGTATGAAGCTTGTACAGCATATTGGTAACCAGTTCCTTTTTTGCTGCTAATACTGGTGCTCACAAAATAGAAGCTGAGACTCTCCATGAAACAAATAGTTCTTGCTCAGTAATACCAAATCAGTGTTTTACAAAAAAAAAAAAAAAACCCCCCCAAAAAAAAAAAAAAAAAACCAAAAAAACCCCAAAAAAACACACAACAGGTGCTTTGAGCTAGGCACATAGTTCCCAAATTCCACGTATTTAACAGGAACTTCTATACTGCTCAGTTCCTTGTAAGAACTGCTGAGCTGAAGGCTAAGTCAATCTAAGCACACACTCCCAAGCATTCACGCAGCCAAACAAAAGAAGTAAAAGACAGTACGATTTCAAATTCTCTAGACTAAGACTGTTGCAAAAGACTATTACACTGATTGACAGTTGTACACCAAATTTAACGAGGATTACTTCAGCCCCTTAAATAACCATGAACAAAAGACGAATCAGAATTATGTACCCTAACACAACACTTTGGAAATAAACTTTTACCTGACAATGCTACACTTGGATGCTCTTATCATGATTTCATCATTGATAAAATAATTTTCTCATACTCCATAACTCCAGTCACTAAGGAAAAGCTCTGCCTGAATCCTACAAAGACTCAAAACTACGCCATCAAAACAGACAGCACACAGATGTGTTCATACTCTATCAAGGGAAAAAAAGTTCACCACCACATATTTTTGAACACGCAACATTGACAGGATATATGCAGGCAGCTGTAGCAGCCAAACTTTACCTATAGCCATACAACAGAACTTAGGTGGTGTCTGCAAAAATAAAAACTTCCATAACCTGATTCATATACACAGTCACGCCTAGATAGATCCTGGTACATTCTGGACCAAGGCCACTGAAACGTAAGAACCAGTGTAAAATTCTCCTTTCACACTGGGGAAATCTGGGCCATCATGTACCTCAGTCCACCAAGAGGTGAAAAAATTCTCACACCCTGACACTAGAAGTTAGTTAGCTGAAACTCCTTAACTACTTTCGTCTAAACAGTATACAGTATGGGAGATGGCATGTCCTGAAACATAATGTAAGTCTTGACAGACACTAGAAACAGAAACACAGTAAATACTCGCCAGGAACAGCCAGCTTGCGTTTTAAAATCCCAACTCCAAGAACTTAACAGCAGAACAAAAGTTGTAGTTACTCCAATTCCACTGGAAAACATCATCTCCCTTGAAATACCAGATTCAGCACCCAGACCCTGTAAGAACCTAGAATATTTTGGCCTCAAGTGCCTAAATTATACTGTCAAAATAAGCATCGCACGTTGCTGCTCCCATTAAAGAGAAAAATTCAGACTCCAACACATTCTGGTGCAAAGCAATGCAAGAACAAAAATGTGGGAGCAAGACCTTGCCAAATCCATCACATACTTGTTCACAAACATCTACATTTGACTGTACAGAACAAAGTACTGAGCCGCACTTAAATGACAAGGGGAATCTGCACATTCTTATATCCTGGCCCTAGAGACCTTGGAAAGGTTAAGCCTCATTTTCTTACTAATATTTTCAAAGCTTTTTTTTTTTTTTAAACTAGGCATTTTTCTTGTATGGTTTTGGGTTTTGGTTTTATTCTTGTCCCATAGTTCGATCAATTCGAACAGTACGAGCAGCTGGAAAGAACAACTGAAGATGTCACAGAAAAGGTAACATTAAAGGGGTCATATCTGGACCATTCGGAAGCCTCACCTCCTGGATTCGCCTGCGAGCCCGCTGTAGCACCTCTTCGTAGCCTTTCTGTCGCAGCTCACTCAGACTCTCATAATACTCTTCGGGATCGTCAGTCTCGGTGAACAGCACCTGCGAGAGGATCTTCCAACCGCAGGTATCCAAGCTGTGCACCAAGTAAACTTGCAGTTTGTAACAGAGAGCGTCCATCTCCTGCTCGGATAGCTCCGGGGCTCCGAACAGCACCGTCCACATGCCCGAGGGCTCCTCGGGGAAGGCAGGCAGGTAGGGCTCCAGCTCCGAATTCACCGAGCACAGCTGCTGGTGCACAGCCCGCAAGTCTTGGAAGGAGAAGAGGCCGGCCCAGCTGCACTCCTCCCCGGTGGTCTCCGCGTCGGGAGCGCCCGGCTCTGCTGCTTGCAGCGGCGAGG